GTGGGGTCTAGGGTCTAGGGTTTAGGTTTAGCAGAACTTCAGGGTTACAGGGCGCTGGTTTAGGGCGATTCAGCAGCTGAACTTCAGGGTTACAGGGCGCTTCTCTGTATAGACATGAGCCTACCCAAAGGTCCCAATATCCCTTAACTCGGGAACATTCTTAAGTCAACTTGTAGGGTTTGGGTTGTATAGGGCTTATAGGGCTTAGGGTTAAGGGTTTAGGGTTGATTAGATGGGGGTTGATAGGATTTAGGGTTGACAGGGCATTGGGATCCTCATCGGATGTTAGGCGTCTGCAATGGTTTGCACGGGTGCCTCTAAACCCCCGTAAACCATTGAAGGGATCTTCGTCATTAATGCATATCGGAGTCTTTGGGTCTAGGGGCTGCCAAAGGATGTACGCAGATGGCCCCCTCAACCCTTCAATCCTTGCAGCCCGAAGCCCCTCAAGTTTCAACCCTAGGGTTTAGGGTTTTGGGTTCAGGGTGGTTTAGGATTTCACCCTCAACTAGCCCCGTCTACCCCTCCCCCAAACCCTAAAGCCAGGCTTGTAAGCTTTGGGCGCGGCCACCTCCACGAGTGTGCCAGACACAGGCTGCTTTGGGGTTAAGGGTTTAAGGTTTGGGGTTTGGGGATGGAGGGCGGGAGGCCTTTTGAACCTCTCAAGTGGAAGAACACCCCTAAACCCTAGAAACCCTAAACCTGGAATCCTTAACCCTGAACCCTATAAACCCTAAACCCTATAAACCCCAAACCCTGGATCCTAAACCCTTGAACCCCTTAAACCCAACGTCAACGGCTCGCTTCCTCTGCCGGCGGCGCTTCGGCGACACTGGCGTCCGCCGGATCAGCAGCCCCTGGGCTCCAAACGAATCATTCTTTACCCGTATATGCCCTCTAAAGCCCTTGAGGGCTTAGGGTGTAGGGTTTCCCACACTTCAGAACCCTGTACAAGGTAAGCGGCCTTATTTAGGCACCATGATCAGAACTCTTCGAATCACGCATTCCACTGCGTAAAAGCTCAATCAAGTCGCACAACACACAAGGCTCTGCTGCACAGAGGTTGCACCCACCCACCCCACCCATCTCTCCCGGCCCAATTCGACCCCCCACCCTCTGTTTCACCTTATGCACAAGCCGCTATACTCCTGGAGCAGTATACGGGGGATTTGCAAATTAGATGATTTCGACGTACATGGCTCAAACGCCACGACATTCTACGAGAGTATCACTTCACCAATACCGTCCAATGCAGCTGCGCGTCCGTGCCAAGGCTTGCTACTCCAAACCTCGCCCTGATAAACAGCTGTGCGCAACAGGTTTGGTCCAGCCGGCTGTCCATGCATTCAAGTTAATACGGGAATGCTTTTCTAAACGCCGAAGCAGCGCAACACGCAAAGTTCAGGACGTGTGCTTGGGTATTCATCAGAAGCAATGCTTTAACAAACGCTGTTTGTCTCACGCATCCTTTTGGCCAAGCGTGTCATAAATTCGTCGCATCAGCCGGCAGCGGTCCTTGCTTGAGAATACACATAGGCAAACAACTAACATAAACACGCAGACTCCAACAGAACTCAGACCTTGTCAGTTCCGCAGTCAAATGCTGTGTGCCTGCTGTTTTCCCTGCGATGGAGCGTTTTGAGGCACTTTGGAGGAAACATTGGTACGTGGCTCTGCAGGCTGTGCTGTTGAGAAGCTGGAAAAAAGGCGATAGAGACATTCGCGCATCACAATCTTGTTGCAGATGCTTGCAGACAATGTAGCAATTCAAAGAGGCACCACGCAAGCATCGCACCAATTACTGTCTCATGCACCTGCCCCTCTGTGCCAAGGTTTGCAACTCCAAGTTTCTACCTGATAAACAGCTGCGCGCAACAGGTTCGGCTCAACTGGCCCTCCATGATATCCAGTTCATGCTAGTATGGGAATGATTTTTTGAACGCTCAAGAACCACAACACGCAAAGTTCAGGAAAACTGCTTGTGTCACGCATCCGTTTTCAGTTCTTCGTACATTGGTTGGCAGTGGTCTTTGTTTGAAGTACGTCAGACACATGGCACATGAGTGCAACTCAAACGGCCGGAGTTGCAGGGTTTCTTACAAACAAGCACTCGAAACGTCGCAACGTTAACGTCGCAACGATGCGACGCTGCAGCCTTGCATGCGTATATATAATTATATATATATATATATATGTATCTGTACATATTGCACCCCCCCCCCCAGTGACCTACCGTTTTTCGCCTTGTCTCCAGTCACCCAGCTGCACTGCAAGCAAACTCGGTGTGCAAAATAGCGTATTTCCGAGGCGTAGACTTAAAATAAAACCAAAATCCGCATACACGGGACAGTAGACAAACCAAAAAACCAAACTCAAAAAAACCCAAAAAAAACCAACAAAAAACCAAAAAGAACAAAGCAAAAACAACAAAATTCCGGAACTTCCCTACGAGGCTTCTCCAAGAGTTCCGGAAATTGTGTTTTGATTATATATTTATATTTGTTTTTTTTTTGGTCTTGGTCTTTTGGTTTTCTGGTTCGCCTTTACGAGGCAAGAACTACGCATTCTTACGTGTGCTTATGCAAATTGTGCTTTTCAGACATAGTATACAAGTGGTCTTTTTGGTGCTTCAGAATTATTTGTTTCGCCATCAAATGAGTAGAACCGCTTCGCTTCTATTTCAACAAGTGTTTAGTGCATCTTTTGGTTGTACTCAAGTGTAGTAGACCTTATTCAGCCATTGGTGGTCTGGTAGCTAAATTCGCATAGATAATATTTGCATAGTAAAAGCAATAATTATCTAGAAGAAGCATTTGCAATATTTGTCTTGAGGAAAAGCTTTTATTGCTTAGAATTGGTTGCTTAAAAGTGACTCTGACTCGTCCAGGGATACTCCAAAACCCTACAATCCAAATTTCACCAGAGATTATCCTGAAAAGCTTGCGCTTTTGGATGTTTTTTTGTATTTGTGAATTTGCTTGTGTATGGCCATCACTAAGTACTTTTCTTGGATTATCGTGCATGTTTAAGCTTGCTTATGCAAATTGTGCTTTTCAGACATAATATATAGGTGGTCTTTATTGAATACTTCAGAAACCTTCTGCGTTTCATTGCTATGTAAGTAGAACCGCTTCTATTTCCGTTAGTGTTTATTTTATATGTTGGTTGAGTATGGTCCTGTAAATAGTATTCACTTGAGTCAAAAGTACTCTAGTAGTTAAATTCGCATAGAATTACTATTTCAAAAATATAAATGCTTCATGAATATGTAAACATAAGGTGTTTCAGTGGACTTTTCAGATAGTGTTTGACTAGTACTTTGCCTTGTACAAACACAATTGTATTGTAACAAAATTCACTTTGCCATATTTTGGTTGAGTATGGTCACCTGGTCCTTTACATTTCACGTGAGTTAAATTGGGCTGTGTACTTAATAAACACTGTAGTAGGTAAATTCGCATAGAATTCTTTCAAAAACAATGAAAGGACCGGATAACCCCACATGCAAAGTTATCTGTAAGTGCTTGAGTGTGAGTGGGTGCGTGAGTGTGAGTGAGTGCGGAAGTGTGAGTGAGTGATTGTGTGTGAGTCACGGACACGGTGAGTGCGAGTCGTAGCGTGCAGGTGTGGGATTCAGGGCGACAGCTTCAAGCTTATATAAGAGGATTGAAGAGGTTCAGGCTCATTTGTCATCCGGCAAGCGAAGTTTCAGCGAGATCTTTTGCACTTGTCACTTCAGAGATCCACAATGTCGTCAGCGAGATGGGGAGACCTGTCAGGGTACACTTATCGCAGGCAAAAGTGAAAGTGAAAGTTTGAAGCCGAGTCTGAGTCTCATCTCTTTTTTCCAGAGATCCGCCACGTCGTCAGCGAGCTGGGGAGACCTGTCAGGGTACACTTGTCGCAGGCAAAAGCGAAAGTGAAAGTTTGAAGCCGAGTCTGAGTCTCATCTACTTTTTTCCAGAGATCCACCATGTCTTTAGCGAGCTGGGGAGACCTGTCAGGGTACACTTGTCGCAGGCAAAAGTGAAAGTTTGAAGCCGAGTCTGAGTCTCATCTACAGGGTGTGCGATGTGTATGCAATGGAAGTAGGCTGACAGGTCCCAATAGGGACCATAGCCTCCGCAGACTCATGCAGTTGTAGGCATTGTTAGACACTACAGCCTGGAAGAAGAGCGCACTGCCGCATTGAGCGGCATGCTCTCCGCGTGCGCCTCAAAAACAATGTAGGCAATGTGTTTAGCTCAGCCAGCCACTAAACACACGCACCAAACAAAGTCATGAGGCTCAAAACTTCAGCTAAAAACGAGGTGGAGGGGGGAAAAACAAGCAGACAGGAAAACATAGCGTATTTCACAAATGCCGTCATATACTGTAGCTGTCAACTCCTTTAGAACCGAAAAGGGGGGAGCAATACAAGACAAAGCAAACAGAAAAACTACTCAACAGCAACGGGAAGACTCGCACTGGTGGGATAGAACAGATCATACTAATGTGCATAAGTCGCAGAACGCGGGCCGCACAGCAGATTTCTTTTGACGCAGGACAGGACCTGGCCTGGGCAGGGGGACAGGGCCCCTCTGCTTCGCAACCGGACGAGACCGGTGCGTCAAAAGTTGAAAGGAAATGTGGCATGAGTATCGCGCGTTGTGCATGTTTGTGAGCCACTGAAGACGGTTAACACACGCACTCAGCCACTGAGAACGGTCACCCCTCTACGTTGCACCCGAACTGAGCCAGCGCGTCAAAAGTTCGGAAAACAGCTGAACTCGCGCGTGACAACGTGCTGTACATGTTTTGCGCAACTTAAACGTCAACGACTCGCGCGTCACGAAACAGCCTGTGACCTACCGCCCTACCGACGTTTGTATCGGCTTGCCTCAGGCGTCTCACTTTTCCGCTTCAAGCCGGACCCCGTCGACTGTCTGCCTTTCCCTTTTGCTGGGATACCGAGATCATCGCATACGGCTTGGTGTAACCTCCCAGGACGCCAAGTTCCCTCACGCATCCCTAGCTCTGGGCTCTGGCCACACCCCGCCCTTCTTCGCAAAAACTGGCCTCAGCCTCGGATCAAGCCACAGACTGCGAAGTTTTTGCCCTGCCGCACCAAACTGGAACGTTGTCACGAGTACCCATGCTCTATCGTCTTCTGGCGCACGACTCAAATTCGAGATTGCGGATATTCCCACCGTCGAACCCAAGGCCACCAACTCCTCTGCAGCTGTGCTTACCTCTGTCCCTTGCCTCGCAGCTGCTTCTGACAACGCCACCAACAGCGCGCCACACACCAGCAACTTAAGCGGTTTACCCTTTTCCTTCGTCCCATTCATCACTGCTTCCCTGTCTGACTGATACACGGCCAAGACCTCTTTGAGTCGAGACCTCAAGAGCCCGGAGACGAAAAGAACTATCTGCTGTCCGCTCCGGGCTTCCCCTGAGTCCCTTGACGCCTGCACCGCCAGTTGACTGGCACGTTCCAACTTTCCTGAAACTTCTTCTAGTTGCGAGCGAAGCTGATCCACGTCGTCAGCATTCACGGAAGAACGAGTGTCTCGGCCTCCACAAGCACAGCCGCATGCTTTTTCGTGAAGTCGCGCGCATGTCTCTCCTTGCGCCGGCTTCCCAATAGCAGGAGCATGTGATACACCCCGCGTTGTTCCGGCGGCAGCCGCTGTTCCTGCGAACACACCGTACCAGCTTGCTCAAACAAAACATGAAAGCACGCAACCTTGCCTCGTCGTAGACTTTGTTCAGCACGTCGCCAAATCGCAACATGAAAAGTTCTTGGTCTTCGTTCAGCTTTTGATCAGCCAACGCGAAGCGAGCCCGAGCCCCCCAAGCACGCGCGTTGTTCCGGCGGCAGCCGCTGTTCCTGCGAACACACCGTGCAAGATTGCTCAAACAAAACATGAAAGCACGCAACCTTGCCTCGTCGTAGGCTTTGTTCAGCACGTCGCCAAATCGCAACATGAAAGCTCTTGGTCTTCGTTCAGCTTTTGATCAGCCAATGCGAAGCGAGCCCCCCAAAAGCCCGCGTTGTTCCGGCGGCAGCCGCTGTTCCTGCGAACACACCGTACAAGCTTGCTCAAACAAAACATGAAAGCACGCAACCTTGCCTCGTCGTAGACTTTGTCGTGAGCCCCCGAGAACGCGCGCGCGCGCGACATCCCTACACGCCCCGCCTGGCAGCACAAACGACGCACGCGGGCGGCGCCGGTCCAGGGCCCCTAAATGCTGCGCCTGCCAGCACAAACGACACCTGTGTCGCGCCTGCCAAAGTTTCGCGCGGCCCCGAGCGCGCGTGCGGCACCGGTCCAGGGCCCCTAAATGCTGCGCCTGCCAGCACAAACGACACCTGTGTCGCGCCTGCCAACGTGTCACGTGGCCCCGAGCGCGCTCGCGGCACCGGTCCAGGGCCCTAAGAGCTGCTGCGCCTGCCAGCACGAACGACACCTGTGTCGCGCCTGCCAACGTTTCGCGCGGCCCCGAGCGCGCGCGAGCGCGGCACCGGTCCAGGGCCCCTAACTGCTGCGTGTGTTGTGCGTGGTGCTGTGTGTGGTGCCTAGTACGTGGTGCATGCATGGAGAAGGTGCATGGTGCGTATGGTGTGGTGTGTGGTGCGTGCATGGTGCGTGCGAGGTGCATGGTGCGTCTGGTGTGGTGTGTGGTGCGTGCATGGTGCGTGCATGGTGCGTGCATGGAGAAGGTGCATGGTGCGTATGGTGTGGTGTGTGGTGCGTATAGCGGAGGAGGAGGAGGCGGAGGAGGCAGCGGAGGCGGAGGAGGAGAAGGAGGAGGAGGAAGAGGAGGAGGAGGAGGAGGCGACAGCCCCAAAAGTAAGAACCCCACACAAAGATGTGGGGAAAATTTTTTCATGAATATGTAAACATAAGATATTTCAGTGGACTTTTCAGATAGTATTTGATTCATACTTTGCCTACAAGCACACAATTGTATCAAAAACATTAGTTGCTCAACGAACATTATTTGCCCTTCAAACACACCATTTGCATAGAAAAACCACAGATCTAAAAACCTAAAAACAGCATTGTCCGCTTCAGATTCAGAATGTAGATTAATCCAATGCTGGCTTATCGGGGTCTGTGAGGTGTCCCAATAACTGTCCTTCATTACCCGGTGATTAACTACACGACTTTTGGGCCTTCGTTGTTCTTTTTTGCTAAAAAGGCCTAAAAAGGGGAGGTCTCTGGGGGGGGGGGTTAGTATATATATATATGTATATATATATATATATAACGTTTCTTTTACATTTCGGAACAGCGCACTGGTTCAGATCATATGCGCATCATTCGCGGCTCGTGACTGGTGCATGCTTTGCATGTCTCTTGAGCTAAGCCTGCGTATTGCGTTGGAATGCCGACCCCGTCGGATCCTGATCCATCGGGTACGGCTGCACGCTGCAGGTTTCCGATGGAAGCACCAGGCACTACAACCCTAACGCGCTACTCGGGCATCCGATGTATCCGCTCCCACACCCGACGTGATGAGACCAGCAGCCTTGTATGCTAGGCTTGGAATTCTAGTTTGTCGAAGCCATGATAAGCCAGCCATGTGCTTTCTAGCGAACACACAGAATCTTGAACTTTGCCTGGTCCATCCTGGTCCACACCATTTACGTGCACCTGGTTAGCCGGACCAATTTCCCTACCGAATGTCGATGGACTGACTTGAGCCTCTCGCTCTTCAGGGCCAAGTGAACGGACGCTGGCCCTGGGATTTCCGAAGCCTTAGCCAGCCTCTGGCTGCATGGCTCGGAGACATGCTAGGAGGCTACCCTTTTCCGATGTCCGGCCCCACCTCTATGTCGGACCTGAGCATCCCACTGTCTGCCCCGCTAAGTGGCCTTTGGACGACTTTTTGCCGCGCCACGTCCGGTGCATTGTCGAGAACCTTCCAAAGGCTTTGGGCGAAATGCCACCATGGCAAAGGATGGTAATGGGCCTTTGGGCCAGCTGCTTAACACCGCGAGAGGGTCAGTTGAGGTGCAACTGGTGTCGATGGGCCATGATGGGCCTTAGGTGCGGTGGCCTCACTCTTCCCTGGCTTCCGCTCAAGCTCTTTTCATTTCGAGGGTTTTCCCCATCGACCTCTTCCACTTCTTTGCCTTTCTTTCTCGCGTTACGGTACCGGGAATCACCGGGAGTGGCCGCAGGAGCTGGTGCCTCGAGCTAGCGCGCGCAGCCTCGTGCTCTCGAGGCACCGCTCGTGCTCAACATGGATCAGCCACTCGGCAGGGCGAGCTACGAGCCGTCTGGCATCGTGCGGAAGGTTCCCTGAAGGAGATCAAGAGCCGCTGGAGGCGGCTTTGGAGGTTCCAGGGGTGACCTTGCAGCGTGACATCGTCCGACACCTCGATACCATATGGCCAGGTCGGAGCTGTGCCAGTGGCAGGCTTTGAAACGGTTTGGCTTTCAAAGAGCACGTTCCCAAATAGATCCAAAAGGCGCAGAAGACTGCACAGGCTTAACAATGCCTTTAAAACCATTGAAAGAGCCAAGTTCCCAAATAATCTCAATGCGTCTAGAACGCCTTTAACACAGAGCGCGCAGTTGAGAAACGCCCGGGACTGCTTTCATAACCCCGAGAGGAGGCGAGTTCCCAGACCCAGAACGAGCAAACCAGGCAAGAGCACGAGTGCGCGCAGCGCCGTAAGAACCAGAACCCAACATTGTGATGTGGGGAACAAACTGAACAAAAAGAAACACATTGACCCCAACCATAGGCAGACTTTGGAACCTTCCTGGACTCGTTCTTGCGAACACTATGAGCGTTTCGAGACACTTTGGACACATTGGCATGGCTCTGCAGGCTGTGCTGTTGAGAAGCAGGAAGGACGGTGATAGAGATATTTGCACCTCACAATCTTGTTGCAGATATTTGCAGAACATTCAGAATTCAAAAGAGACATACGTAAAAGAAGAAGTTTTTGAGTGAGGACGCCCTCGGCTAAGTCTGCACGTGAAACGGATGCATGTCCCAACCGGACCTTAGCTTCAAGTGCTCCGCAACCTGCCGGGACAAAGGCAAGTCAGCACAGATGTGCGCGTCTAGTCAGGAAAATATTAAACCTCCTGTGGCGCTGATGCCAAAAGCTTGCTGAACAGCATCAAGCGAGGCCACCAAACTGCGAGCATCTTGAGCATTCAGATCCCGAGGAACCCCAGAAGACGGCCTAATTACAAACGTACTAGGGGGCGACATCTATGTAGCATTTCGCCGTGCGTGTTGTGGTTGGATTCATTGCGGTTAGGGCTTGTACAGCTTGTGGGTATGAAGTTATAGAACATCTTGAAGGTTTTGCCGGGGTGTTCCTGACTCCTGAACATGACAACATGTGACGATCGAGAACCATGAGGCATGTGACACAGGTACTCCAACAGGTGCTCGAATTTACCAATATGCTGGTCGCTCTGTGTGATACAGTGTGACATGTTGACCGCGCTACACGTAAGATCCTTGTTCAGGGCCACGAGAACGAGAAACATCGTGATGAATATCAGGAAGCCGATTGCAAACCTGTCGCGTGGCAAAATGTCTGCAGTTGTGCGCAATCAGTGCAATCCATGGCTGGAACAGAAGCTTTAGCCTCGGCATGAAGGCTGTGCGGTCTATACAGTGCACTGTCACAGCACCTGGCCACACTGGTCGCACTGTACCAAGCCAATCGCTGCAGAAGCAGATTGAAGGAAGTATACAGTATGGTCTGTGGCATTCTCAGCACAGCCTCCATGCGTCTGAGCCATGCTGCAGTCCTGAAAGTGTTGGAGACATAGTGCCGGATTACAGTCCTGCGAGCGTTCGCGTCAAACATCACGCCGCAGGAAATTACAAGTGAAAGTCCTGGCAACCGTGCGTGCTGGGGATCAGAATTGTTGTGTTGTCCTCCCGAGAAAACACCATGCATGCCGATTCAACGCACGTCAGCCATTTTATTTGTTTGGATCAGCATCCGATGCTTCTGCTTCACATTCATGTCAAGGTGGAGCCCCTGGAACCTGAGACAGACCGCTGAGGCCTGGAAAGGAGCTAACTTACATCGTGCCGCAGGATAGTGCTTGATGTGACGGCGCCCTCTGGCCTCCCCACCCTGCATTTACATTAGTAGGTGTCGCGCGCCCGCAGGATGTCAGGTTGTGTCGGGGGAAAATGGAATCTCGAATGAGAATGACTGAATGATTGCAAATATTGCAAATTTGCGTTTTTCCGCCGCAGCAGGTCCTGTGGATGGTCACCACATATGCACCTGCAAACATTACTTATACCAGCCATTGCATGACTTGTGCCTGTGTTGTTTGCTACGCTGACTCGTTTCTCGTGCCCCCTCGGATCTGAGTGCTGCATTCCCGTAAATTGGTGACAGCTATTCTTCTTCTTCTGTCAGCATGACCCCTTACACTCCTGGCCACGACGCTTTCGAGGATCACTTTTGTTTGGCAAGCTTGTGGTGCAAAAACATAAAAGCATGAGTGTGCTTGTGCGTGAGCCGAATGGCAGCAGTGGGCTGAACACCGTGATTGTCAATCACTCGTGAATCAACGTGAATGATGGCGAGTCATACCCGCAACCTGCTGTGCTGAAGCACGGCAAGCATATGCAAGCATCACGCCTGCCGTTTTTGCAGTCTGGCGAGCATCACGGGTGTTTCCAGCCTGGCATCTAGTCCTTGTGGGCTAGAGGCATCAGGCTGAAGGAACACCCAAGAGGCGCAACATTATTCGGAGAGTGGCTGTGCAGTCACTTGTTCTTGGCTGTTTGCCAAGTCAGCCGCGCACGAAGAGCACCTCCATCTCAGGACAAGCTGACAAGTTGATGCACATCCATACAACAAGCAAAAGATCGAAGCCAAGCAAACTTCTGGGATGAGCTGCGTGTATTGCGTACGTTGATGCAGGCACTACCGCATCTACCATCCATGCCTGCGTTTCTGTCGCTTGCACTTGTTAAAAAAA